CCCCTGGCCGGCGGCAGGCCCCGCCCCGCCGGGGCTCGCTCTACGGCGGGCGAGGAGGGCCAAGCGCCGCCGCCAGGGGGCGCCGCGCGCCTTGCTGCGCGCAGCCGTTCCCGCGTGCCCGGCAGCGCGCGGGAAGGTCGGAACGGAGCGAGCAGCCGGTCCGCGGCCACGGGGCGGGAAAGGCCCGGACAGGGCAGGGGGCGGAACGCCCTGAGCCACCCGAGCTGGCCCTGCAGGTCACGTTTCTGCAGCAGAACTAGGAAATACAAAGGACCCGCTTTTTTTTTTTTCCCCTTTTTCTTTTTTCCTTCTGGGACTACGGAACTCCTATTCCCAGTTGTGCAGAACACCCTCAGTAGCGATCGGCCACAGGGCACAGCTGGCGAGCGCTGATGAAGAGCAGCAGAGAAAGCTCCTGCAGCCGCACGAGTCCCCGCGGCTGCGGCGCGGCCGTCCTGCGCTCCAGCTGCAGCGGCAACGTGAAGCCCACGCAGCGGCGAGCAGCCCTCTTCAACGGACAGGAGCTCAGCTGCCTTCCACTGCTGTGACACAATCAACTAGCATGAAAGTGTTCCCACTGGGCTCTTGTTCTACATAATCCCTAAATATTTTTGTTAATATATGTATTTTTTTCCCTGCAGAGCAGCCGCCTCCGCGGGGAAGAGCCCTGGGCCCCGCAGGACTAAATCTGGGATCTGTTCTAGCTGGGGGCTCCAACAGTGACCAGCAACCACACGCTGAGTCTGAAAGTCTAATGAATTGCCATGCGGAGAGGATTTCTTGGGAAAGAGGTATTTGCGAAGGGATGCTGCTGAGAAGGCGCTCACGCCACCCAGGCTGAGCTGCGCCCCAGGAGCAGACACAACGTGTGTCTATACGTGCACGTTTGCATCGTGACACCGCAGCAATAACGACAAGGCAACCTCTTTAAGCAGGTTTTATAAAAGTATTTACTTACTGAGATACTGTTACAGTTACCTGAGTATTTGAAATTACAATGCAAGGAAATCTCAACAACGAATTTCAGTACAGTATTTTACAATCCAGTGCTGCTGATCCCAGTTTATATACCAGTTCACTAGAGCACATATACACAAAACGATGATTCTGAAAGAAAATTAAAAGACACCACAAAAAAGGGGGCTGGAGATACCAGTATAATAGAGCTGGGATTACAAATCCAGTGCAGCATGAAAAGATAACGCCAAAAAAAAAAACATCTTTTTTTTTGCTTTTACATTTCTTAGATAATAGGAAAAAAAATCAAGTTTTAAAGAAGCAACTGGATTAAAAAAATAAAACTCCATACTAAATCAGATGAAGATGTGATGCATTTCCTGCACACTTCATTAATATAATGATGTTTCTTGAGCTACACAAGACAATAAGGCTTTGTTAAATCTGAGCTCAGCATTTCACTAATTCTCATGTCATTCTCATAAGGCAACATTCTCAATAAAAGTTATTCCAATACTTGGAAATTTGGATCAACCGACAGTTGCACATGAATATATTCTTGTTGCACCCAATGAGTTTATGGACCTGAGGCTGCTAAATCAGTTGAAGCCATGGGAGATGCGCTCACTGATCTCGTCTGAAAGTCCTGCTTTAGTTCGATTCAGAAAATCTTATTATGCAGTGGATTAAACACTATGGGCTCATCCACGTGAAGCTTCTACCAAACAAACAGAGCAGTACATCAGTGGCTCATATTGATTCCTTTTTATTTCTACACAACGTGTTGTAGAAAATTAACAGATCTGTTAGCATTTACAATGCTTACAAAGTAAAAGGGGCAAGTCATCTTTCATCTTCAGAAATATTTCTGATTTAACAAAGTAAACTTATTTTAAGTTCTTATATTTTGGCCAAATCCAATGCTTTTTATTTCCCCCCCCAGTGAATTCTTTAATTGCAATATTTGAAAATTATTTTTGATGCTTGGGATATCCAGCCCCCTTTCCCCCATTCTAATACAGCAGAAAAGACATATAAACATGCTATTTAAATTAAAGAAAGAAAAAAAAAAAAAGGAATAAGTGGAATCCCAGACTGCAAAAATATATACAAGCATTTACCTTTTTCCTGAACTAACATTTCAACCATAAAAATATTAAACAGCCATACCCTATAGAACTAGGGCTAAGGCTATTTCAATTATAACTATTCTTTATTTTAAAAATATAGGGCTGAAAGCCTTTTGGGTGATATTTATACATTAACAATATTTCTAGGTTCCCTACATGAATCAATAAAGCATTTTGCAGAACACAAACTACTTTTTCATAGCTTAATCTTGCATTATCTTGCTTAATTTAATCTCTCTTGTAAATATGTTAGATAACTAGATTTCACTGTAAGAATTAACATCAAGAGAAAATATTTATAAGGCTTTTTTTCTCCCCACGAACTGTACTGTAAAACAGCCATGAATTTTTTTCAAATTGGCATATTTTCCTGCTAGTAAAACCACGAAGTGGGGTTCGTTCTCACTAGCAGGGAGATGATGAGAGCGGGTCAGTTCCACACCATCAGAAAGGCTTCACGTTTTCCTTAAAGCCCCGTGGCGAGAGTCGCACGCTGCAGGGTTAACCAGCACGTGCATGGAGCTGAAAAGCTCTCCTGAAGTTGGTTATAAAACTAGTGTTTTTCCATCTTTTACTTAAGACTGAAGGGATAGCGGGAAGGAAATAGTCTTTTCAAGACCGGAAATTCAGTTTTATATAGTATCCCACTGTCCTGCTCCAAGTAAATGTAGAAGGTTCTTAAAAACAGCTCTTAGCCCACAGCTCTGAGATGCAGCTATGCTCTAACTTGTGCTCCATGCCAGTCCAAGTGTCACATCTCTTTTTGCGGCCAACAGCCCATCACATTGAAGTTTGCTTTACTCCTTTCAGTTAAGAAAAGAGCTGACCACAGCTAAAAAGTGCATTCAGTCTAAAGGAGCAGTAAAATGTACAATGCCACTGTAAACCAGAAGAGAACTGAATATTAACAGATTCTAAAACGAAATAAAATATGTTATTCATCCAGGAAGAACTCTCTACAAAAGTTACTAGCTATAGGCAGCTAAGGGATGAATTAATTTAGAAATCTCCCTCAAATTCTGTAGAACTATTTGCTGATGCTCCAGAAATCTGTGATCTGACTGATCTTTCCAGCCTCATTAGCCCTAGCCAATATCGCCCTTCAGTTCATCATCAACAAAAAAAGATAAGTGTTATCATTTTTAAATCCACTTGTTTTATACTTCTTCCTGAGAACCCAATAACATATTTGGAGAAAACTGACTACAACACGTGAGAATCACTGAGTACAATTTCCATTAACACTTGACAAGAAACATCAGTCTGCGAACATGAATCTAAATGGAATCAGTGCAATCCCAGGTGGTCTTGACTTTTTCAAAATGAGTAAGTACCACAGTGTTTTTATTATTGTAAAATTAAATGAGTTATGAAGGAAAAGGATCAGAATTCTTCCAAGCACACATGAAAACGTTCCAACAACTTTGGGCAGGTGTTTTTGGAAAAAAAAAAAAATCCAAAGCTATGCCCTGGATTTGTGCCACACTTTTACATGCCCTTAACAGCAGCTTGAATCCAGCTGGCATGTGAGCAGACTCCAGGTGGGGAAACAAAACAGTCCGGCCACATCTGAGTTAGAAAAAAGAGCAAAAGCAACGAATTTGCTTATAGTACCCGGAGGGTGGCTACAGGCTGGCTCTAATAACACTGCTGTAAAGAGGCTTATGAGGATGCTGCAGCATTGCAGCTACCAATGAACTTCCCAGTGCATCAGTAGCAAAAAATGCTACTAAAAAGGAAAGACGAAACTATTCTTAAAAATCTGTCAGTCGTTAAGGACACATTCTAATTAATGAACAGTGAGATATAGCAGAGCCCAAAGCTGTTTTAAATATCTTAGTTCACAATTCATCTGATTGCTCATTTGATTTCTGAAAGTGCTCAGTAGAAATCCAGAGTTTAAGTGGGTAAAATCTCAGGATACCATCCACTTACTTACACACTAGTATGTTAAATAAATCCAAGTCGAGTCTACTTTACAATGAGGTGTGCAACAAGCAGAAGAAGTGAAGAACATACATCGTGTGTTGAGTTCACATTCTTCAAGGTGCAAATTATAGCTAGTTATTCCTGCCCAAATCCTTCTGTTTCTTCAATTGCAAATAATAACTTTTCCTTCAACTGCTCATAATTCTTATAGGGTGGAAGGTCTAAGCGATTGAAACTGAAAATAAAAAATAAATGTAAGTACTGAAAAATAAACATCACTAAAAAAATCTGCTATGAATACAGATGATTAAACCTTTTGCTATGTAAAATGGATACAAGAATTAATTCACATGTTACATGATACATGGATACATGAATTAATAAATAAATGGATACATGAATTAATTCACATTGTTGGAAGTGGAAAAGAAAGTCCAGGAAAATCCTGGATTTATAACCCTGTCAAAAGCTGACCTCACACTAGAAATCATTTATTCCTGAGAGCAAAAGTTTGAGTACAAATGCTTCAAAAGAGCTAGTTTTACAGAAATGCAGTGTATTCAGTAATAAGCCTCACTACATTTCCTTAGTTCGTTAACTACAGGCATTATTCATATTTGAAAAGTTAAACTTGTTTCCTTTTACTGAGTAATAACTAAAGAAATGAGCATAAGCCGCCTTTTCTCCAGGGTAGAGGGTGCATGAGTAGAGCTTTTATTATCAAATGGAGCTTGGTGAGAACAAAAAAACAAACCTGTCTTCATCAGAAAGTACTGTTTATTACTTTAAATTTTTAGTAATAGGCAAATCCACAAAAACCAATAATGGAACCCACTCCATGCCATGGTGCAGTTTTTCGGAAGCTTGACTTTTATTCAGTGATAAAACTGTGGAACTTAGCTTGGTCCTTGATTTCACACGAAGACATTTAAGCATATTGCCCATTTATGAACAACCTCCAAGCAGGCTATAATCAGCAAGAACAGAAGCAGAGCACTACTCTGATTTATTACATACTTACCAGGTGTGACTTCTAGGTAACCAGTTTTCCTTTCCAACTTTTTCAATACAAAATTTTTGGGGTCCATTGCTCCCTGTAATAAATTCAAGGAAATTATTCCTTGCTGTAGCTAACTTAGTATCAGTAGTAGTAACAGCAGTTAATATAAAACAACTGAAATAGGAAAAACTTAAAAACAAGACAAGGCTATCATGACTCACACAGAACAAAAGTCTCTCATTATACAGCGCTATCCAGATACAAGTATTCTTGATGTGGAATGTACACACTTAAAGAAATGATTTTGAAAGGAACTCAAGAGAGTAATGGATATCGATGATCTCTTCCCCTACTCTTTCTGTCATCACTGAAATATCTGGAGGACTTAAGGTTCAAAATAAAATTCATAAAAATGCCCACAGGCAAAAACTATGTGCTAATCCATTAGATGGATTAGTATGCATACCCATGAGGTCAGCAAATCCTCCCACTGGTAATCTGCAGGTTCCAGTAACAAACTGCAGGAGTCTCATCCTCTTCTCATTATCTATTTCTTTTACAAACTGAAAAATAACAATTGAAATAAACATTTAAGTATACATTTAATATATGTATTTATACATACATATACATATACATATTGACCTGGACAGACTGGAGGACTGGGCGGCGAGAAACCTCATGAGGTTCAACAAGGGCAAGTGCAAGGTCCTGCACTTGGGGAGGAATAACCCTGGACACCAGTACAGATTAGGGGTGGACCTGCTGGAGAGCAGCCCCACAGAGAGGGACCTGGGTGTCATGGTGGACGACAAGTTGACCATGAGGCAGCAGTGTGCCCTGGTGGCCAAGAAGGCCAACGGGATCCTGGGGTGCATTAAGAAAAGCGTCTCCAGCAGGTCGAGGGAAGTGATCATCCCCCTCTACTCAGCCCTGGTGAGGCCACATCTGGAGTACTGCGTCCAGTTCTGGGCTCCCCAGGACAAGAGGGATGTGGAGCTGCTGGAGAGAGTCCAGCGCAGGGCTACGAGGATGATCAGGGGCCTGGAACATCTGCCCTATGAGCAAAGGCTGAGAGAGCTGGGTCTGTTCAGCCTGGAGAAGAGGAGGCTGAGGGGGGACCTGATCAGCGTGTATAAATACCTCAAGGGAGGCAGTGAGGAGGAGGGGGGCAGCCTCTTTTCAGTGGTGGGCAGGGATAGGACTAGAGGAAATGGCTTCAAACTGAAGCATTGGAAGTTCCACAGGAACTTAAGGAAGCATTTCTTCACTGTGAGGGTGACAAAGCACTGGAACAGGCTGCCTAGAGAGGTTGTGGAGTCTCCTTCTTTGGAGATCTTTAAAACCCGCTTGGATGCAGCCCTGTGCCACGTGCTCTAGGTGACCCTGCGTGAGCAGGGGGGTTGGACTCGATGACCTCTGAGGTCCCTTCCAACCTTCGGCATTCTATGATTCTATGATTCTATACTTCATCGTCCATAATTTAAAACTTACACAACTGCTAAGAATAGGTGGATTAGCTGTAACAGATTTTATCTGCATGCTACTGATCTGTTCAGCACTTCGGACTACTGCTCACTCAGCTGGGGCTGTAACTCTCTAACTTCTGTTGTTCCAAGAATAAAAGAAATTCTACAAACCTGCCAGAACCAAACGATCTGTCTGCTGGTCCTGGTGTAATGCCGATAGATGGTATGTCTTTGCCAGTCGTTCAAATCAATCTCTTGCATTCCACATAAAAGCACCTTTGGGGGAAAGAAGGGGAAATAAACACAGTACAAGTTGTCACTCCAGTTCTACGGCTGCCCGTAAAGCAAAGAACGCCAGCTGCACCATACTTGTAAGTATCTGTCTGCAAAGGCTACTCGCTTGCTTTTTTCATTTTCAACTTTATCCAGCACTTCCACAACAAAGAATAATCACTGTGTGTGAAGTGTATTTTGAGAGACCACAAAATTGCAAGGGTCACATTCATGAAAAAGGGAATAATTGGTTGCATTTGGATGTTCAAACCAAAACCACAGAGTTTAACATTGCCCAACCATATGATTCTGTGCTGGGTATAATCTATTTGGTTTTCATCTTTTCAGATTAAAGAGATACTTCAGGAAGCGTAATTTTGTGGGCTGAAAACCAGCTAGAACCTGGTCCACTCTATATTATAGTCATTCATTGCATATATGGTTTTATTTTCCTTTCTGTCAGGTTACTCATTCCTTAAACATAACTCAGTCAAATTGCTGAGGACTCCAAAGAAACTCAACAACAACTTTCTTCAATTTTTTTTAAATGTGTCAGAGGCTGACAAAGAAGAAAGCAAAAGGAAACATATTAATCAAATACTACTCCATGATATCAACCAAATACTGCTTTATGACATTCTCTTCTTCTTCCCTATGAAAAAGAGCTGTCAATCTCAGTGAACTCTGTTCTGCAAAAATACTGACTGTAATTTATGTATCACACGCAACAAATTGACTCTAGCAATAGCCAAGTAACCCTTTACCTCCAGTTCCTTGGCATCAAAATACTGCAGATACTGTTGGGGCAGAATTTCATTGAAGCCCTCGAAGAAAGCCTGGGTCTGTTCCTCAACACCTCGGGAAAGCCTCCATTCTGCTACTAGCCTGCAAAAGAAAATAATAAAGAGCATGTAAACTGTTCCATGCTGCCTAAAGTCCACATCTTTTGTTAGCCTATTTTGAGATGAACTGTAAGCTATGTTAAAAACATTATGGAAAGTCTGGAAAGTTCTGGGGATAGAGCATTGTATAATTTTATTTGTAACCTTTACTTTGTGCGAACAAGTTTTTAAACGCAAGTTAAAATCCTATGTTTCCAACGACTCTGCAATGGCAAGTATTTTAGGCTCAAAGAGGAGGCAGCATCTATTCACTGATGAGATTAATGAGCGCACAGCAGTCCCTAGATATGTGAGGAAAGGAAGAAAAACGCAGAGCTATCTTTGTCTAATATTCTCCCCAGAAATCTCGATCGTTATCCATGGAAAGGTAAAAAACTAGGTCAAGTTGTACTGGTGAAGATAAGTAGGACTGCTAGCTTACCAAGAAACGACTATGTCCATTTGGAAAGTTCCATATTTGTTTCTGTTAATCATGAAACTTTGCTCTGTGGCAGAAACTCCACTCTCCATTAATAAAAGGGTGAAAAGCAGGCAGGAGACCCGAAGAACCTGAACCCAGGGAGAAGCAGATATTATGCTGAATTCAAGCCTAACCTGTCAGGAGAATTGGAGTCTAAAGGAGAGAGAGCTATTTTCTGATTTCAATCCTAGAAACTTTGGGGGCTTAAAGCAGGACCCAGAGCACAGAAGAGTAGGAGCGAGGCTGGAATCCGAGCTCTCCCTGGGTTCCTGGAAACTAGGAGAGAATGGTTTTCTGCAGATCCTCCCCATTTGCAATCTCAATACAATCATTTTGCAAAACTGTAGTATGTTTCTTCTGCAAATGCTACCTTTTCTGTGAAACACTGAAATCTTTTCACAGATTGCTCATGCAGTGAAACCAAAATCCACTCCCTTCTCTCTTTTACCTCCTCCTGGAAAAGCAGACTTCACCAAAATCATCCCAAGACAGAGAAGAAAACTCCAGCACGTTTCACCTTATTTTGTGCCTGCAATATATGTTTTCCTTTGGCAAGCACATTCTTCACCTAAGCTTATATGTTAAGGATCACCCCTTAAAGCAGAGCTTATGTATATTAAGGAACGGATATCTCAAAACAAACCAGCTCATTGTTCCTGTTGTCATTTTTTAAACAGTCTTTGTGAAAGATCCTTTTCTCCTAATCTACAACCTGAAAACATTCCCATACTACAACCATAATACTTAGTTTATGAGAATACAGGTTATTACATCATTCCTAACATGGTGTTCTTAAAAATGCTGGGTTGTGACTGTACTATAAGGCCAGTTCAAATAGAACCAATAGGTGATGCTGAATACCTTTAAAAACTCAGGATTATCAAGAGTGCATCCAAAAATGTTCAGTTTGAAACAAAAATGGCTCACCAGAATATGAGTAGGTGCTGAATTAGTGTAATTCAAATAATAAATGCATGCAGTGATTTGCTGAAATACCCAATATACATACTTTTCATTGTGATGTTCTGCTAATCTCCAGAGGAAAAAAAAAATAGATCATCTGTTCAACTTCGTACTTAGCATGGATTTTTATTTCCATCTGTTTTCACTTTCAAATATGACCTTTAAGTAACTGACACTTGTCAACATCAGCAATTACTCATAAGCAAATTTACAAATATGCATCAGGGTGTTACACAGGTGCACAATTACAGGGCAATATTTTTTTGCTAGAACTAAACAGAATGGCATAAATGAGTATTTTTAAATCTTCATTTGTTCTTACCTAATATATTCTTCTTTGTTTTCTTCTGTGACTAGAATGTTGCTACCATTTGGTTTCAAATCATGGCTTTTGATTTCACCTAGAATTTCTTTATCAACTGAGAAAAACATTTCCAAGCCACATTCTTCAATATCATTCTCTCTGTAAGAAAAAGAGGTATTGTAAATACTAGATAAGGAGACCTTATACACAGTACAGGAGACACATATATTTTTTTAAAAAAAAGGGGATTAGAATTCACAAATGAAGTTAAAAAATATTACTTAAAAAGTAAATGTGATTTTGCAAGATATACTGACTTCACTCACAATATGAAAATACATGAATTGCAGTTTTGGCCAGCAATTTTTTTTCTTAGTAGTACCAATAAATTAGCCATTCCCTAAGGGTGACATATTACCTTGCTGACTCTTTAACAGCTCAAAGCAGTACAGAAACTTTTCAAAGGAGTAACATTTTCACATGTTTTCTGGCACAGCTGCTTCTTCTAAATGGTAACGAGGAGCTCGGTAAAGTGAAGGTGCCTTTTTTTTTTTTTTTTCCAGGTAATATCAAACCAGAAGTAACTAAGAAAGGTTGGGCATGCTAATGATTTATCTTCAACTCTCACATATCTATAGGTCTCACATATCTATGGTGAGCATATTCTAAAATGTTCTATGGGTCTATCTGCTGAGCATATTCTAAAATGTTCTAATCTCCTAAATTAATATGTACATATTTCCTTCCTATATTATGATATAGGAAAAGAGGCTTTTCCTATATCATAATACAGAAATGGCAGTCTTGTGAATACAGCATCAGTGTGGTTTATTCAGCACTGCCATATGATGGCACTTCAGAACGTCATCACATGAAAATTGAGATGAGGAGGAAAGGCTTCTGACTGATGGACAACTATATAACTCAAACTATAACATTAATCCTTCCTTTAAAGGGGAAACAGACTTTCATATTGTGTCAGGATACGGAAGTCTCAAGTTTCCTTGTGAGATATGCATGTGAAAAAGGAAAGCGATTGCATAGCCACCTTCATCATTTTCTAATATTAATGATTTATTAAAACAATTTACCAGAAATGGTGGGAATGTAAAAAAAATAGCTGCTCAATAGGAGATGATCCAAGTAGATTCAAAACCACTGACAGGTTTCTTGGTCTTTAAGAGGATGAAAGAATTTGTGCCTTCCCTAACCGACATGATTTTTTTCCTACAGGTTTATGACCGTTTCCCTAGAGAAAAACTCCATTGGCATTGCTAACAGACTGGTTCCCCTATGTTAAGCATGAAATTTCCATTTCTTGGCTTAGAGAGCCACATCTACACCCCAGAGATCTGAAGTCTGTTCTCCAGAAAGTTCACATCCTTGAGTGGTTTTGTTTTTTTCAAGGTAGTAAAGCCTTCTTGGACTCCAACTTAGAAGAACTCTGTATCACTGCAGAAATTGCTGCTGATAAATGGGTAAAGTCTGCTCTAGGGACAGAACTTCCCACTGTCTTAAGCCTCCCTAAAGTTTCCTTCTCTGGCAACCAAATGAAAAACACAAAAAACCACTAAGCATGGATTAATAGAAGCATGTGTAGACACCACAGCTGAGTCACTTGAAATCTTAATTTACAGACTGGAGATACAAGAACTGTTACTTGGCAGTTAAGTTCTAAGTTTTCTGATTCCTTACTTTAAATGTAGGCTTTTCCTGCCCTTGACAAAACCTTTCACTAGTGACTGCTGGCACCCAAGAGAAGTTTTACACCAGCAGTCACCTGGATGGTACTTGGCAACACAGCAGGCTTTGAAATAAAAGAGAGAGGCAAAGGCAATCTGTCTTGAACCCCACTTATTGCCACGGTCAGGCAGTTGAATACTGATTTCCAAAAGACTCTATGCTCTTTTCTGAGCCATCATAAATAATATATTGTCCAAAAGAGCTGGGCATGGATTCACTGTGACACTGCAGCAGGACTGGAAGGGCCGTCAGTGAAAAGCATTACTGTAAACTGCAGTGCTGATCACAACTCCCCAGCCTATGCGCACCAGACACACAAACGCAAAGACGTGACTATGTCTAAGGATAACAGCTTAAAAATAATATCCTTTTACTATCAACCTCCCACAGATGATTAATGAATTGTTAAGGGGAATGATTTTATAATGCACAGCTCACCAGCTAGCCACACGATCATCCACCCACAGCAGCTTCCCTCATCATCACAGATCACTTGCTGTAAATTTCTTCTCTACAACTTCCTCAAAAACACCTTGTGTTTTCAGTGTTACATCTGATCCCTAAAATACCTCCAGTTGTAAGATAATAACAAATCACCCCTACTTTAAAAAAAATATATATATACACACACATTATCTGACTATGAAAGAGCAAGCTTAATTGCAAGATTCATGACGTAAACCTTGGAGACCTTATCTTCTCTCTCGGGTCTCAGTTTCACGGCCAAAGATGAATATAGCTTTGCCATCAGCATTTCAACTTACTGTAGCTTTGAGCCACAAATGATTGGGTACAGAACATACCACTCTGAAAACCAAAGCAAAATCCACATTTCTCTCTATGTACAAATATAACCTGAAGCCCTTCCCTCCCACCTCACTATTTCGGAAACCATTTCCATGATTCACCACTAAGGGAGATGACATTCTGCCTTTTATAACTATTTCTGATAAAACAAACAAACAAACCAACCAATGATTCCCTATTCTGCATGAAGATTACAAAGCAATTTTAAAACATTTTCAATTGATTTTATATCATTCTTAAGTACAGTATGTTTCATTTCATGAGTCAATATAAAAGACTTCTTTTTTTTTCTGCTAAACTTATTTCTCTTTTACAGAAGTAAGAGTATTTTTCTTTTAACTGGTTTTGTCCTTCCCTTCCAATTTCTTTTTTTTTTTCCATTTTTTTTTTTTTTTTGAAGGAAAAAAACACCACTGAAACGTATGGAAACACTTAATGGTTCAAATCAACCATGGACTAGTACATTCTAGCCAAAAGTGCATGCTAGCCAATCTTAAGCTATTAACCTTAAAGTCAGATTTCAAGGATGACTGAGGAGTTATGATAGGAAGTAATAAGCTACATTTGTTAACTTTCTAGTAGCAATAAAGAATTTATGTTTTTGAACTAAACCATATACTTCAGAAAGAATGAAGTAATAAATGTCTGTTTTTTTTTTTAAATCAATTATCTGATAAATATTTCAGTGGAATTTAGGCAAGCCATTTTATTTTTAACAGTGTGTGAGACCACCACATCTAAATTATTGCTAGTTAGAATTCAAAAAGCAGTGAAAATGGAATGCGAGATTCCGTGCAGAATATTCAGTAAATCAGCAAGGCAATTCCAGTACTTCTCTGTAATTGATATATTCTACTGCTCAGTGGGTTTTTGAGGATAAATTTACTATTCCCTGGTATAAGTGAAAAATCACCATCACTTTATTGCTATTGCAAGAACAAAATCAAATCAAACTCACTTTACCCAGATGAGAGAGTTGTAAAACTCTGGGTCAACAGACTCTAAATCCTTGAGTCCTACTGGCTTGTTTAGGATACGTTTATAGAACGGCAGAGAGAAACCAGTGTCAATGAATTTCCCATGGAACAAAGCCTGAAGAACAGGAAAACAGACAAAATAATGTAAAGGATGACTGAATACCTAATATGACAACACTTTGTACCAAAGACATTTGACAGCCAAAGAATTAAAGTATCTAGAATATTATGACTGCTAATATGTTTAAATCATTCATACCAATGGCAGATACATGCAAATGCCTGACAATAGTTTCAGCTCAAAGATCCATTATTTAATTATCCATCTTATGCTACAATATTTACCTCTAGTAAAATAACAGGAAATAATTTTCTACTTTTGAACATACCATGGCAATGAATCTTCCAATAAAACGGAAGTATTTCAGATGGTCGGGATTAATGTAAGAAGCCGGGTTTATCTGTAAGCAGTAGTTATCTTTCCCTGCATATTCAAACAGGCAATACATTGGGTTCAAAACTTCATGGGACAAGAGAAAGAACCATTCCCTGAAACAATAAAACAAAAAACAAACACATTTCAATTAGATTCAAAAATTATGTTAGTTAACTCATACGCTGAAAATTGTCTTAGGAACTTGCTCACACATAGGCAGCGAACCAGACTCCTTTCCAAAGTGTAGTTAGAGGTCAGTTTAGTCCTAACACAATTTAGCAATTACTATGCAAAATTACCACCACATACAACTATGAATGGTATGGAAAAGACACCCTTATCTTAACAGGCAGATAGTTCTTTTAAGAAGTCTGAACTTACAGCTTTAGGAAATTGTAATTAATACTTCTCTGCTACATTGCAGTAAAGACTTCTGACTTGAAAGGGGATTTCTATTCATTTTCAGAAGACCTTTACTTTGACACTACTGGCTTTGCCAAAGATTTGCTCTAGCTCTATAAACTTTGCATCTTTTCTTCTCTAATCACTGAGACATTCAATTAATTCTTAATGTGATTTTAAAAACATACAGAATCATTTGAAGAGGTTGCACTGATACTCTAAGGAAAGATGAAATATAAGGTTCTCTAATATTTTAAAGCACTGCAGTCTAAGCATCTCCTTTGGAGAAGTATTCACTTGAGCAATTTGCAGAAAAAAAGAATATATTTTTTGCTGTTCTAATTTGGTTTACCTTGCAACACCTCCGTAATCTAAGCCTTCTTCTCCAGGGAAAATAACCCACAAACGTCTCCGCAGATCCTGAGGGCTGAAGCTCATTATCTTAGGAAAAGAAAAACAATCCATTTATTTCTAGAAAACAGTTATCAGCACAGGCTAGATTTATTACTATTCGTTATCAAACAATATAGCATATAATACATTAGAACATCAAATGGAATTTCAGGGGTTAGTGCTAACCCCTTTCCTGCTAAGAGGTGTGACAAGTGAAAGAAGGGAGAATAATTCTTAAATGACAGACTGACATATTTAGGTCAGCAGCCCATCTATAAATATGTAACACCAACCTCACCAATAAATGAGAGGCTAACAGGAAGTAAATTTGGGCTTTCTAGAATAACATTCTGAATAGAATCTAAGACACACAATGAAGCTACAAAGGCAAAGGAATAAAATTAAAAAAACACAAGAATAAAAATACATAGTGGATCTTTTCTTTTTCACTTTACAGCTTTACTCCCCCAAAAGGTAGATGGCTGTTAGTTCTGCACCAGCAAGCATCATAGCTGCTAAAGCAAATAACCTAATTAATACTATGTCCAAATTCGCTGATTTGATCAAATGTCAGGGATTCTCAAAGCAAAACAAGACTTTGATCTCCCATAAGAGTACTAAGCTTTTGTTTGCAATGAGACAGACAGAACTTGAAAAAAAAAACTGTATTTTTAAGTCTCTCGTACATGTCTGGTAATTTTCACAATAAATTTATATCTCTGATAGAAGCAGCTGCAAATGATAAATGATTAATAAGCATAAAAAACAGCTCAGATCTTTGTGATTTTGTCATCTAAATTACTGATGAGACACTGTTTTCTAAAGTAAATCTAGGCTTGATTATATTTACATGATTATATAATTTCTCTCTTTTGATTCTTTTCAGTACAGCACGATTTTATTACCTTTGCAATTACTGTGAGAGGACAAAGTGCAAATTTAGGAATTAAGACTGCCAACTTTCCATTACAGGATTTACTTTGTCCGCTTTAATCCCTTTTATTTCCAGACATTAGTGTTCTAAGAGTCAACAACAGCCTATTGCACTAATATTTATTGCTTCTGCTGAGCTAATTTGCAGTAATTTGACTAAGAAGATATTAAGTTTTAACGTGTTATTCTGTGTGTGTGTGAATTTCCTGGCTTAACACATCAGTGATAACTTCTAAGACACAAAGCCTGAGACATAGAAGAAGATCAATAAATCTCAGCTACTGACAGTAAAGGCAAAAGATGCTGAATGGTCCTATCTTTTTAGATAAGGTCTGCATTTTAAGTGAATTTTAACTCAAAAAAATGCAGAAGGGCTACAGGAATCTCATATTTTTTTCCCCACACTTCCAATCTTATTTCATTGTATCTTGCTGGATCGACAAGCAACAGCTTTCTGCTTCTACTTAACAAAACAACAAGAATGATTTATTGTCACAAGAAAAATTAAAAAAAAAAAATCAAAAAGGACTTAAAAAGCCCTGTAGAACCATATTTTTTAACTTTGGTTTAGCTTTACTGACGCTGTTGAGAATTTTGCTAATAATCTAAACATAACAAAAAAATCAGAACTCCTTATTTTACAATGATCTTTTTATATATCAGCATGACTGTATCACAAATACACTATTCGGAGCAGTACTTCTTTCTATCACTTTAAAGGTATTAGCAAGCTGTTAAAGTATCAATAATGACACTTGACTATGAAGTTCCCCAATTCAACTCTGCAAAATCAGTACTAAAATAAGTTTTCATAAAATACCTGTTGAAACGAGTCCTCAAACAATGTTTTTCTGCTCACCGTAATCTTTATATGTTGTGGCATGGCAAGTTGCTGAAATGAAATATTTTTCAGAGATGAAACATGCAATCATCCACAATTTCAAATACTATGCTATGACTGTACATGTTCTTTTAAGGGGTACAGGTGAATTTCACACCCTTATAAAATAAAACCAGAAACACAAATATGCTCAATTTTTATTTATTCTAAGAACTTGAAGTGAGGTATATAGGATCATATAGGATCACTGCTTTGAACAGGTTCAAATACTTCATTCTTACAAGACTAATGGAAGCATTAAGATCAAAATCATATCTTAAGTCAGCAAAGCTTTATCTAAAAATAAAAATAAAAAAAACTCAGAGAATTCAGGTTATTCTGCACAAGATTCAAAGTGAAAAATTAGGTAGGCTAGTCTCTGTTGTTTTTTGAAGGATAACTGATTCTTGAACACTGTAGTGTTTAAGTCCAGCAGTTTTTCCTGAATACCAAGTTATTTACTTTGATACATGTAAAGTTTAAGGGACCAAGACTGCCATAATAAACTGAACTTATGTTAGAATATGCTAGCCTGAAACACAGCATATTCTTTGATGATTTGACATACATGTTCTTTATCAAGTGCCCTGCATTTTTTTCTGGAAAAAGGTATTTGTGCAGAAACTAGATCTTATACTAAATATTTAATAATTACTTCCGTGCCTTGCTATAATTCTTTATTACAAGCAGAAAAAAAACTACTATTCTGAAACTTACCACTTTTCAAAACCACTGTAACTAAATTGACAGCTACTTTTATTCAAAAAGACTTAAAAGATAGTCCTCAGCTTACTTAGCTGAGAGTTTGCACAAGGCCTGTATTTACCATTTCTTATTTTAATTCACATTTAACCTTACTCAAAAGGTATTTTACTTGATAGTAAACAAACAAGCTATCAATATTTGCAAGAAATAACTCTGTACCTGGCACCAGAAGCGGAAGTACTGAACCTTTGCCTTGAAATCTCGCACATAGGCTATCTGGGGTCCATTGTCTCTGAAACCAAAAGGGGAAAAATAAATTTCAGTGTTCTGGGAATTTTCTGTCTGTACTTTTATCAGTTATCTAGTCGGGTAGTTGGCTGCCTATCTATCTAACTGGAAGATTCTTTTGCAGTTGTGTTTTTTCATTTTGGGGGTGCACTTTCCTTGTTTAATTAAAGAAAGCCTTATTTGTAAATACTGTGGGGTGCATATGTAATATTTATTAACAGTACCTTATTATTAAGTACAAACAAAAGTATTCTAATAATTAGGGTGAGTAATTAACAACTCAATTTAAGTTGGAAATTTTGGTTTTGACTCCATCTTTCTTTCTGAGAATCCAGGAAATAAAGTTGTGCTTGACTGCACAGGTAGAGCAGTAACTAGCAGGAAGGAAGGGATCTCGTCATCAGAAGTACTGAGGGAGCCCCTTCCAGACTCCCAGATCTCATCCAAGATTTGGCAAGACGGATTCTGAACCACTCAAAACTGCCCTTTGCAGGGACAGTGCTTAGTGAAAGAAAAAACTAGAAAAGGAGGCAGCTTTGCTACTTGTCAAACCCTCTGCAAAAAAGCATATAAAGAAAAGCAAAAAAAATCAAAAATGATGCCTGTTAGACCTCATTTTTTAAAGTCTAATACAAAAAATACTTACAGAGCAGACTTGCCCGTGCGGGGATCTATATATGTGGTGGTTCTTCTATTGTGGTCAACAAAATACGGAATACCATCCACAGTAAATCGCATTTCCCAGCCTTCCGGTAAGGGTTTTTCATTTAGTTGACTGTGCATACAAGAAAACATAAAGTAACTGATCAACTTAATACATGAAGTTAATTTGCAACACTTGAGATAGTAAACCTGAAAAACAACAAATTGAGAAACTTTCTGCTCAACAACATTTATTCTGCTTGTTTTCATCTTAAATGTTAATATTAGCTATCATTCACTTGAAAATGCTTTCTTAAATAAGCATTAGCTTATCTGTAATAGCAACAACAGAGCTTTGGGGAAAAGAAATATATCAATGTGGTGCATATTTCCTTGACTTAAGTAATCACATTTTATCTTTCAGATATTAGATTCTTTTTAATGAACTTCTGATATCTTACATATAATCACAAGTCAGTAGGGTGACCAAAATAAAAGAAAACGAAGAAAATACCAGTACTGATCTTGTATGATTTTTGATAACTTCCAATTCAAATCTAGTATAAGTAAAGTTGCTTCTCAATATCCCTAGGAGACCTGTGTAGCACCATTTCTCCACAGCAGTCTGAGATTGTACTGCCCTCCATAAATCACATGACAAGACCATGTTTCCAACTATAAAGCCAGAATTTTGGTTGTTGGGCTGTTACTAAAAATCTAGCTGCTGCATATACAAGAGATGAAAAAGCTGCCAGCTTTTGGCTAAGGCCAACAGGCCCTGATCACATAGTAGGTCATTCCATTCCTTCTCCCCATCTTTCTTTCCTTTGAGGACAGATGATGTTTTTTCACCAAATGGAAATGTTCAATTCAAGCATGGAGGGGAAGGGATACGGCATCTCCATTTTCCTGACAGTGCTCCCCACTTTAAAAGAGTAATAGTAAGTGAACCCCGAACTAAAGCAGTACCCCATCACTTTTAGTAATGCCTGGATTTTTTATTCTGCCTCATCTCAATCTAAAGTCTGAGGTTTGGTGGAAGGTGGCAAAGAAGAAAAGAGTTGAGGAGGGTGGGAAACTGGACAAGGTGCTGAAGTTTTTTGGAGTTCATCTACTTTCTGTCTCTTAGTTACTGCCTGCCTAATAAATAACAACATGTTGCAGTTTACCAAGACATTCCTGATAATTGTGCTAACAGCAAACAACATTTTGACAGTTTCCATTTTGCCTTGTACTTCTTTACATATTTTAAGGGACACTCTCTGAGAAGACTGTTTAGGACAACCCATTTTTCAGTTGCAAACCATGTCTCCTAGATCTCGATGTCATTTGATAAACTTTCAGATCTATGCAAAACTGTAACCGGTTTCTTACCCCTGACTCCTGGGATCTTCCCACTGGGTAATACGTGTGTTGTGATTCACAAAATACACTCTGCCATTGCTGTCCGTTCTCTTTTCTGAAAGGAAGTAAAAATTGAAAATATTTCAATATCTGCTTAACGCATTGCTCAGACTACACTGTTCTTTTAAAAAAGGAAAAAAAAATTAATAGCCACTGCACCAGCTTCTACTGTTCAGAGTTTCTCTGCACCTATTTGGACTCAACATCTTTTCATTCCCCTGCTAGTCTATTCAGCAACAGGAATATATCTTAAAAGTACTGACTGCTAATAATCATATGAAACTTCACAATCATCTATCCTGAATGAAAAGCTGTGCTGAAGTGTATGTGGATATGCTCCTTCTATCCTTATATCCAAATTTGCAAGAAGGAAAGGTCAATATGGGAGATGTACCTTCCCTAGATTTACTGGCCTGCTGCTAACAGACTTGCAAAAGAATTTTCAGATTTTTTCAAAGCTAAAAATTTAAATGGACTAAAATGTTGATAAAGCAGAAGTTTCCCTCTAACAAACATTTACTATGCTACTTGGTTTTGTTTTTTTTTTTTCCAATTAGAGGAAAAAAATAATTGGAAGAAAACAAAAACATAAGCTTGTTTTCTCCAAAATATAAGCTTGTTTTCTCAGTGCTCTGATTATTGCATGCAATACTGACAGCAAATACAAAATGGCTAAGAGACATCTATACAACTATCAGGAATGAAAAGAGGAATAAGTCTTTATATTCAGGGAAAAAAAAAAAGATAAGTGCACATTTCAAGAAAATAGACAAATTCTTTCACTCAAATAGTTAAGCCCAAGACTCAAGTACATTTATGATAAATACCAGGATTTGGTCTTCTGGCATCTTTCTGCAGTTCTTACAATTTCTTATTTTAGAGTGTTGCAAAAGCAATATAGAATCCAAATTATAAAACTAGAGCAAAATATGACTGTAGTAGGTAACAAGGCTCACGTTAGAAGAGAGGTCTGGAAGGAGACTCTTGTCCATAGAGGTCACACTGACAGCAAAATAGAACACTGTGGAAACTCAGTGGAAACCCTAACAAACAACATTTCTTGAAATGCTACACAGATATTGCAACAAGGCACAAGCGTGGGCAGAAAAAACTTATAACATGTATTTTCATCCCTAACTTAAGTAAACAACAAATAGTTAAGTTTGAAAAACCTTAAGGGGGAAAAAAAAAAAGTCCAGCTCTGGCAAGTACAGAAATTTAAATTAAATGACTCTTCTCACTTTGCTTCTATATCACAAGATGTGCATCGAATTATTACATACAGCAATATTACATAATCAATTATCTGATCCAGTACTGGAACCAGGTATTAGTTTACACTTATATTTTTGAATATAAAAGGAACACAGATATATTAATTGTAAATTCCTAACCATGAAAGGTGCAAAAAATGCCAAAATGTACTTTGGAGGGAGGTGGAAATGAAAGCGGGTGCTTATGAGCCCCATACTACAAAAAATTTTCAGACCAACAAAACTTCAAGAATTTACTATATAATGGGGAGACAGAGAGTATGAAGGAAGTTATACAACGCGGTAGTTGCTGGCAGTAAGACAACAGCACACTTCATACCTTTAAAATTATTTTGGAAACACAAATCCATGTCTGGAGTTGGCACTTTAACAGGACATTTGATTAGATTTAATTTAAGAGGATCTTAAATAAGGACTTTCACAGATACAAAAATTAACTAAAGGAGCCAATACGATTAGGCAGATGTATATTTTAAAGTTTAATTAAATTACATTACAAAACACTATTTCAGTCAGTCTTACCCCATCCATGTGGCAGAGGGCCAAGAGGATCAAACTCTTTGTTCTGCGTGGAAGAAAAGTCCTGGTTCTGCAAGTCACACAAATAAAGGGTGCATTAAGAACTAGCCATTATCCATTTTCTTTCCAGATGTTCTAACTGTAGTCACCATAAATTATTGAAGTAAATGCATTTTTGTTAATGCTACGTATAGGAAAGATGCCAACAGCCATTTTACTTTTCTCTCTTTCTCCACAGAGAATCCCTGAGTTTGTTACAAATTGTTTTGGGGTTTTTGATTTGTTTCGGGGTTGGGGGCTACTTCTTGGTACTAAAGACTGAAAGCTATTCTTTTATCTAATTTCATAGCACTTTTCACAGAATCACAGAATATTTAAGGTTGGAAGGGACCTCTAGAGATCATCTTTTCATGGTTAATTAACTTCGATGCCAAGAAAATGAGCATTCTGTGTGCACCTGTCTGCACAGAAAAGCAATACAGTGGTACCCAAAATAACGAGAAAGAAAATCTGAGAATCACGGAATGGCTGAGGTTGGAAGGCACATTTAGCAATCAGTGACTCGCTGTTTAAGCAGGGTCATCTACAGTAGGTTGCCCAAGACCATGTCCAGATGTCTTCTGACCATCTCCAAGGACGGAGACACCAAGACCTCACTGCGTTTTGGAGTCCAGAGTCCTGTCCCCTCACAGTAAAACCTTGTTTCTAACATTCAGGCAGAACTGCCTGTGTCTCAGACTGTGCCCAGTCATTCTGATCCTGTCACTGGGTGCTGCTGAACGGCACCTGATCCTGTGCACACCCCCCCTTTGGATATTCATACACATTAAGATCTCTCTTCAGTCTTCTCCTCTCAAGGTTGTTCTCTCTCTTGTTTTTCCTGTTACCATATATGAGGCCCATTTTTTCTCCATATACAAATTACAATTTAGAACTTGCAGCATTCTTTATAAACTTGTAGCTTTTTTTTAGGCTAGCTATAAATTTTACTATTCAAGAAAAGAGTGGATTTGAAATTCTAGAATGGTTACTTTAAATCTCCTTGCTTTCATAACATTCGCTGCGCATATTACATTTTACTGAAGCAGGAATAATTTGTTCCTCTCTGAGCTACCTTTCCTTCCTGATCTGTGGCCAAACCAATGCAAGACACGATATAAATAAACAAGCTTATTACTAAGCTGCAGTTGTTTTGAATCATTGGCTTCTGTCCATATTGAACATAAATTTCAGCAAAGAAATTTCACACCAGCTATATTCAGCTGACAGATAAAAACCATTACACTGCATGCAGTGCCTGCAGTTGTTGCAAGGCCACAAGCTAAAGTTACCAACCGTAGAGCAGGAAGTAACAACTCACAGAGGTACAATATATCACCAAGAAGAAGACATGCCATTCAAGTCTGATTATCTTTACTGGGTAAAGTCCACCACAAGCATTCCCAAAAGCAAAATGCATAAATGCAGGAGAGAGAGGAAAATTATGATCTAACAGATTGGGAATCTGGAAAAAAATATTTCTATCAGTTTCAGCATTACATTCCTTACCCCATATATAAATCTTTGATTAAATTGCTGCATAGCTCCTTGAAGTTGACTGCGCTGAAGCTGCCACTGCTCGTAATTCCGGACAGATTCTAATGTTGGTCTCTGCCACGTTGTGGTTCTAGTGAAGTGGTCAACATAATAAATTCTCCCCATGTTGTCAACTCGTCGTTCCCAGCTTTTAAAAAGATACAAGCAACACTTCTCAATAACACAGAGTAATTTTAAAGGCTAAGAAGCACTTTTAGGGTCAGACTAATTGCAAAGCAAAAGACAGTACGTTTGGAACTGGATATAAAAGCATGGGCTCATCAACATTTTTTTTTTTTTCTCTTTTTACCATCCATTAAAATTGCAAAGAGCTAAAATTCTTTCTGAGAATGACTTTTACTCTGCTTCATGGTATATCACATCAGATTCACTCATTTACTGTGCCTTCAGTTCTTTTAAAATAGTTTCAGTCTAGTTTAAACCTACTCTCAAAGTGCTACATAAACCACTGTCATTCCAGCACTGTCATTACTGCATTTATCCCTCCCAAACTCTGAAGATAATCATCTTCTGGTTTCTCTAAAAACTGCAAAAAACCCTGGCATGCTGGCAATTCCCTTATGTCCTTTCTGACTAAAGTTTAGCCTGCTTTGACATGAACAAGGGATGGCTCTTACAGTTTTTTGCTTGTTTGTTTTCTTTTGGGTCGTGTTGGAGAAGGGGGAGTCGTTTTCAGATCATATAAATTATTAACAAATTTTGAGTGAAAACACTAAGAAATTCATTAACATGATAGTGCAACCTATCACCAAGTTTAAGATCGAGTACAACAGCTGGGCTACCTTTGTGAGACTTTCTGCAGGCTTTATGTGCTCTTTAGAATCAAGTTCTCCTTACTGTTCTGCACATTTCTACTTTGCAACCTGTGTAGCCTAAAGTGCAAATGGCTTGAGGATGAATGAAGCGTAACAGTATAAATTGTGGGCTTTCCTTTGGTTTTGAAAAAATACAAAAAAAACAGAAAAAATAAGAAAAATAGAAAAAAAAGTGAACGTTGTCTTGAACAATGACTAACATGATTGACTCCTCTGACACCAACAGCTAGAAAAGCCTGATAACCAAAGCACTTTCATGAAAGCCCAGTAAATTAGCAGCTGGAAACCCCAGAGAAGACCGAAGGACTGCAAAGAATAATCTCAGGCTAAAGGGGTAGCCAAAGATATTCTTGCTCAAAGATAATAATTTGATTAATCTTAAAATACCTTTCTATAGTTTTGGTTCTATTTTAGAGACGGGGTCACCTACTTTCTTTAACTTGGATCAGTGTCTCAACATACACACACTTGCCTAATATTTGACAGTAAAGCTAAACTGCAATTCTGTTATCTGTGACATTCCTCTCCTTCCCTTAGCCATGCACTATTATTGTGGAGCTCATCAGAGATATCCTGGAGTAGCTGTTTGCATGGCATTCACACTACTGCTTACAAATATGCTTGCTAGCTTTAGTAAATGGTCAATTAACCTTAGATAAAGCCCATCCAGACATATCCTAGATAATCAGATGACTTTTCCTGACTCACCCTGGAGGAAGAGGCTCTGGACGATCCCATGTTGTTCTTTTTTCAACGTGATCTACATAGTATACTCGACCATGTTGATCTACTCTTTGCTCCCAACTAAAAATAAAACAATAATTTAATTTGTAAGCGTAGGAAATTGTTAATCTGCACAGCTGTGAGAAACGTTACAAATAAGCGTTTTATAAAAACAAGCTGCAAATAACACACATAATTAAGATTTGGTTCATGAGCTGCACCAGAATGTCGTACAATATAGAGTGGCATGATGTCCACATTAAATTTCAGCTAGGCAAAGAATAAAGTGTTACAGAAAACTGAAGTTAAATATCATGTCTATGCATACTATGTTGGAAAGCAATTAAAAGCATGTTTTGTATTGAATATCAAAACAACGTAACTGGGGGACTATAACCTCATTTTAGAACAGTATCACTCATTGAATTTATTCTCTCAAATATGCAACACTTGCACAGTTCACATATATGCAGAACTCTTCAAATCAACACTGATAACATACTTCCTGTAAATGCAACACTTAGCACCAAATATAGCGTGGGGAAAAATCCTACTTATTTGCTGTTTCTGTTAAAATTAAAGTCAGAAACTGTCGTATGATTTTTTCAAGACTGTTTTGGTACTTTAGAATTACCCTGTGAGATCAGTCAACCTTCTCCTATGTACTGCTTCAATTGCTGGCAAATTGAGGCAGGTAACTCTTCACTAATTACACCATTCACACTGGGAATTCTTTGTTTTCCCAACAAGTCAAAGCTAAGAAAACCTCCAAACTAAATACTGCAGGGGTATTTGTTAGTGTGGTAAAACCTAGATGTTATACATGTTTTGTTTTGCAATATCTACCCTAAAAAAAAAAAAGAAAAGAAAAAAAAAAAAAAAGAGAGAAAAAACAAAAATCTCCCCCCTCTCACCCCTGCTCAAAATACCCTCAACCAAATGAAAGATACATCACCACAAAAAAATAACTGAGTCCCTACCCAGGTGGAAGGGGACCTTGGCTGACTGTAGCCAGTGTCTGAGGTGGAGGATTTACTGGCTGCACTTGTCTTGATACTGGAGGTGTGGCCAGTGCTGCAGCTGCTGGGGCCGCTGGCCCCTCTGGGCTCTGCTCGGAAGAGGTGCTGGCAGCCGGGCCCGGCAGCGCCCCGGATCCCGCGCTGGCCCCTTCGTTGTCTGTGGACGTGGGTGAGGGACCATTGGCGCTTCCTGCAATACGAGAGATCATGAGGATGGGAGCATTGGGGTTTCAGAGAGCACATACATAGCCACAGATTTTGTACCTTACACAAAAACTCAAAAGAAACTTTGTCTGTCTTTACATAAGCACTTCAATCCAAGAATTCACATCAACTGGCCCATTCTGGTATTCCTGTCAGAAGTCTTATCAAATTCAACGGATTATCTGAGTGCAGTGGTAGCACTTCTGGACCAGCTGCACTATAGTTAGCAATATCATTGCAATCATTCTTCAGCAGACACTGAAGCAAGACATTTTTATTAACAGGAACAATGATTAAATGACATATATTGAAGGTGATCACTTAGGAATAAGCTGCCCAAGAGAAATTTGCTCGGAAAAATGTACCAGGACCTGTAATGGCTATGTTCATTCAAACAATTTGTGGCATGAAATTAGCTCTTCAATGAATGCCTGGCACTAGAGTACATACCAGCTACTGAAGTGGGTCTACGGGGTGTGGGTGGAGGTGGCCTAGAAGGCCTGGGAGGTCTGGAAGGTTTATAGCTCCCATTTGTGAGCAACGGAGAATCACCGCCGTTAACAGCCTTGTTGTCACTGGAAGCTGCATCTTCAGAGCTCTCGAGGCCATTTGAGTTAGTTCTTTGTAGGTAAAGGCAGAACGGGGAATTATTGTAAGAAATTATGAAAGATATTACATTTTATGGAAGACACTCATGCAACAAGGTGAGATTCTTACATTCATTACAGATCATAAAAATCCAGCATTGCGATATATTTGTATAAACATATTAAGAGTTCAACCTCAGAGCTGTATGAGATATTTTACTAACATGTTTTGCTGAAAATTCCTTTTTCATTTCCCTGTTCAATATACTTGCCCTTTTAATTTTGCTGCCAACCTATTTCCTCCCATGAATTCAGCTTCTTCTAGGAAGACAAGAAGCTGACTAAGACCTGGGAATTATAGATATGCCCCACAGGGCTCAGAGCACACAGTATACTCAAAAATTTTAGAAGGTTTCAATAAGATTTACAAATTTTCCTGAGTTGTGGAAGTGTCTAGATCTTGTTTCACAGCTATCAGTCTGAAGCAGTGTAACAGAGAACTTCAGACTTGAGTGTTGAAATTCTAGCAAATAGTTGTGTGAATTACTATCCTCAGGCATTTTCACCCCTCAGAAACCTTAAAGAACAGTTTCAGCCATCCTGTACTGCTCGGTTATGCTTAGTATTCTGATATACTCAAAGCTCCTAAGTAATTGCAGGGATCTGAATTCTTATCTCCAAAGCAATTTGTTTTCAGAATTGGCATGCTCAGTAAAGAAAAAAAGATTAATTAAGAATTCTGGTGGATTGACAGCTCAGATGCACAAGACCTTAGTAATAAAACTGTAAGTTATGGTTTCAAGACAGTGCCACTAGTATCTGTAATAACACATACATTTCAACATGCAAAAAAAAATTGCACGCAGGTAGACTTAATTTAAATCATCGGAGGATCAAGGGATCAAGTAAGATCATGTAGAGATGACCTCAATAACAAAATGTTAAATATACCTTTGCTCTACCTGTGGTATTGGACACATGATAATTTATACGATGCCACACCAACCCAGAAGAAATATAAAACTAAATGACTGTGCAAGTACACACTAGTCATTAGCGATCTAAAGTTTATAGGAACTACAGCCTAGTTCTTCGCAGCTGCAAAGAGCTGAGTGCTGTTACCTGAACATTAAGTCAAAAGAAAATCTTCTATCTTTCATAGATTTGACCTGTCACCTTAAGAAATAATGATCCATCTCAAGCCATTTTTATACACACAAAAGCAAGCACTGCTAGAGATATTCCAGGTTCGGATCATGGACATGACCATACAAAGGATGCTCAAAAAGGACCTTTAATGAACAGCAAGATCTCCAGTGGTCGGGATGAAAACTATGCGGCTAATATTACCCAAACAGGCAAGGTTCCGAGTGCCCAAGTGTGGAAAACATTCTTTCATGAGTGAAAAGAAACAGAGCAAAAATAAAACTGTCATGGCAAGACTCTAGACTCCACAGCTAAGCAGTTACATTTGTGATGCATAAAAGAATGGCGAAATGAAACTCAGCTACTCCAGATGTCCTCCAAAAGTGTAGTGCATTGTACAGATTGTTAAGATACTTATGGCACTGGAAAAGTATCCAAAGTGGCTCTGGGCTTACTAAAGGTTAATGTATCATGGTGTGTGGTCATGCTTTCATCGCACCAAGCAGCAGGATACATCATCTCATGGGGAACTTAAACTGCCAGTGCTAGACAGCTTCTGCTATCTGATTTAACAAAGCTAAATGTAATTCTGAAGCAAACAACAGAGTAAAAATACCTATTGTCATTTACTCATCAGTGGGGATTTGCTATAAGTTCGCTAAACACTGAAGTCTCAAAAAAGTCTTTCTATTTTGAATAACACATGTGAAAAGATTCACATTTTTTGAACTATAAGGACAGCTTAATATACAAGATTCAGCTTAATATCAGAATTGTTTCAATTTTGTTCATGACACATTTACTAAGCAAAGTATTGTGTGGCACTGGTCTCATAGCTGTTAGAACTCTTAACATATATTGCCATCCTCACAACTGACACAGTAGAATATGTATCACTTCAGCCACAGAGAATACTTTCTTTCTAAAGAACCTGCTTGGATCTTAACAGATCTCACTGCAAGTCACACTCAGGTTTTTCTCATTATTCGTTATTTTCTTTCTCTTGGTCCATTAAAAAGAAGAAAAAAGATCTTACCGTGCATCATTCTTTGCTCTGGAGGTATCATTCTGCGTAGGACCTTAAATATTGGAAAGAAAAAGACAACAGAAGTATAAGCAGTATTCTTAATGATTTTCAAATTAAAAAAAAAACCACTCTTTTATGCCTAGATTTCTTTCAAATAGCGACATGCTACTACATGCTGCTTCTTTACAGTCTCATTTTCAGACTCTGTGTGCGTGCATAACTCATGCTGCCATGAAGTATAAAAGCAGTTGTATTTTCTCCTTATGGAAGATAGGACGCTATTTAACCATACAAATACTTCAAATATTCACACCCAATTCTATAATATTCTGTCTACCTAGCAATTACAAGGAGTTTTATGCACTCTTCAAGTGGATTTGGCTTTTCAGATTTTCTCTCTTGTTTTGATGATGACAGGGAAAGCAGGCAGAATCACAGCTTTTCTAAAATCTTCTCTCCAGTGGGCTAGCAAGAAACTGTAAGGCCTTTTATTTTGGGGGTTCTCTATGCTGGACCCTCCCCTTGTTCTGTATATCATTTAGCATCAGGGCACTGAAGCAGGTGCAGCTTCTGGCTGCTTTCCAAACAGAATTATAGCAGCTCAGCCCAGATCTGCAAACATTTTGCAGCTGCTTATTCAGCTACCTTGCAAATATTTGCCTTTTGTGCCAGCACTCATGATACTGGAATATGGAGCACTGAACTGCTCATTCATTTAGATAGCACAAATACTTCAGTTCTACAGAATTAAACAAACGTTATTAGCAAGAAAGTCCGTTACCAGTTTTGATGGGAACTACATATAGATCTAAGCCAAAGAGAATAATGTAGTCATGTAAAGGCTTATGGAAATGTGAAGTTAATGGACCACGCAAGGAAGTGATTTTAATTCCAGAAACTGAAATATCTTGATCTAAGATATAAAAGCCTATTGAGTAAACAATGTAGCTGCCTATGAGCAGCTTAGCTTGCCTAACAAGAATGCACTGCATGCCTGCAAGACTTCATTCCTTCCTCTTACGCTCCAGTGCGTTGATCATTGGGAAACCCTCTGCTAAAACTTCCACTTGTAAGTCAAGGTCTTTCTTGCACGGGAGAGCCCAACCCCAGACATACTCAATTCTCTACCTGCATTCCTTCCTCTGTTTACTAACGCCTTCTTAGCTCAGAAGGTGAATTTGAGGAAGCAAAAGTAATAAACGTACAGATGAAACAGACGGACATATTGGGAAACGCTGTTATATTTACTATAATAACCACTAGATATCAGTGGTTACTACAGTAAAATACTGTGTGAAAGCTTCCAGAAAAAAAGCTTTGTATATCAGAGACTACAACTGTTGTACCCTTGAACTGAGTATTACTCACTTCTTACACTTGAGGCATCACCATTGGTTAGGAGCTCAGGATCTACCTGCATCCCATCTAGACAGACGGACAAATCTCCTACCACTTCTGCCGGTTCTCTGTCTCCGACAAGGTGCAATGTCACAACTACCTGCTCAACTGAAAATGTACATAAAAAATGGAGATTATCTCACAATATGATAAAAATAGGTTTTATTCAAGAAGAAAATCACAGACCACAACATTCAAGAAAAAAATTGCAGAACAACAACGCTATGTCCATAAAATTGACTTGTATAAAGTCAATCATTCCTAGAAATCAGTAAAAAGATATTGTTTCTAAGAAAAGAGGAAAATCAGAGCATAAGCTCATTTCCACCTAAGGAAGGAACATAATTACAGAAGTTGAGACTCAAGCTTCTGCTCATACTTCTGAATCAAATAGGTGAGCTGTCCTCAAAAGTTTGGAAACGTATTTCAAATTTTAATTCATTCAGTGCAGGTATCAATGTCTGGAATCATGAACATACCAGTATTCTCATGATTCCAGTTTTCAATGAGGCTTTCATTATTGCACAAACTAGTTAAATGAAAACATGTTTTCAAAGACACCATAGTAAATTGTAATATTAAGAAAAATAGACACACGCCCACACCACATAAGTGTGCAAAATGTATTGCCTTTAAACACAATCTGTGGTAGTGAAAGTCGGTAGCAAAGGGAACTCCTATGACCCACCAAGTCTTCAAAGATTTGCAAAGAGCACTCCACTCAGGCTTACAGATGTCCAAAAAAATTCTGTTCCAAGTGTTTTTCATCTTGTACTTACGCTTCATACTGTTGGATTTCAAAGTCTCATGAATATCCAGAGCAGCACTGCCCAGAAGAACATCAGATTTTAGTGTCTGATGGCTCCAGACTCGAAAGTTTAATTTACTCACAGGAGTGACAATTCTAAGAGGAGAAGGGGGAGAAGAGAAAAAGAAACACACAAGAAAAAAAAAAAAGAAGTTTCAAGATTATGCATATTGCAGGAACTTTGTTTTAAATGAAAGAAAAATATCACAATTAACATTTAAGTGTAATCAAGGTAAGAAAAAAACACTTATTCTTACAGTTTCACATTCCATGAGTGTTCAGAGTTTTTGTACCCTGACATTTGAATTATTCACATAGATTTGAAGACAACAAATTTGCTTGCTGAAGAGATTATTTGATAATTCATGTTTTTCCATAAAAAAGGAACATATCAAAAGCTGATCATTCCTCTAATAAGCTGCCACATATTTAAACCATGCTACAAATAAGAATCAGGAGCATACGTGAAATTATTTTACATTTTAACAGAATACTTCTTGGTGAAAGTATACATTTTCATGACCAAAAGATTACACCTTCCACAACTTCATGATTCAAAGAACTTTCCATGTCATATCCAGGAGCAGGATGTATTATTTTTTATGTTCTCCCAATCTGACTAGGTTCTTAGAGAAGAGGTTTCAGACCTGTTTCAGTTTCTCTTCATTACAAATCAAATAATTCAAATAAAAGCTCAACTAAGAGCTCAACTACTGTTCAGTTCTACTTTCCTTTCATTTTCTGAATTTCATTTTTTCTCTCCTGAACGCACATGCTCCAGAAATTATACAGATATGTTAATGTTATGTAAAACAGAACACATGGCTTAAAAGAAAAAAAAGAGGAAAAACAAAACATTACAAAAGCAAGCAAACAAAACCCTTCAAATCTGATGTCAATTACACAGCATTAGTTCAGCTCAAATAATCCAAACGGAAAGGAAAACCATCAAACCTACACTGTAAGATGCTGCTTCCACTTCGGACTATTTGTGTTGTTGCACTTTTCTGTCCTCTTTGACTGTCCGTCTACAGAGACTTCTACATAAGGGCTAGGTCCAAACCATTTATTTTTTTCTTTTAGTTTTGCTGAAATAACTGTTAAAGAGAGGAAAACAACAATGGACTCTATGAGGCTTCAGCTGCAAATGATGTTTTTCAGTCGGGTGCTTCAGCATCCAAGTGTCAGGTCACTGATCCTTGACAATAATGCTCAAGAGAATAAATACATGAAATGCACAAAAGACTTACTCTTGTACTCTAGACCATTTTATCCAATGCAATCACTCACACAATAAGCTAAAGCAGTCAATATTTTCTCTACAGGATCAGACACTATAACTAGGAATCATCACTGTAAAATCCACAAATGCAGCTGTGTGTTGAACATAGTAAATATCTTCTGCAATCTCCAGCAGCCAAAAAAACTCGTTTTTCACTCTAAACTGTCAAGAAGCCCAAAACATTATTTACTTCTCTCACTGAAGAGTCCTGGGCAGCTGCTGCCTCTTGTGCCAAAACCAACTAAAAGTCAGGGATGTATTTTGTGTTAAGGTTTCTACAGCAGAGCAAAATTCCAGAAAAGCTAACCAGTTTCAGTAACTACCTATTTTTCTGGACAAAGCCAAACCTGGACAGGACATGGAACACTTTAGAGCTTTACTCATGTTAATGAGTATATTACTGATATTAAAGTTTGGACAGTGACACCTCGATACCCTTCTCCTGTTTATTTATTTATTTATTGTGGTTTGTTTTTAAATCAACCTTGTTGACCGAGATGCTATCTTGCCAAATGCTGAGATGCTACTGCCTCCATTTAGCCAAAGAAAACTATGGGTGCACCTGTCCAACCTCAACGTCCCTTTGATTCACAGCAAGGAATGTTCTTGGATACCTCAACAACACGAAGCTCACAAAACAGAACTTAAAACCCAAATATTATCATTTCTAGTTGGCCAGTGAACTCCATTCTGTTCTTACTAATGATAGTCTGCTGTCCTCTATTTTCAACATCTATCTCAGCTGCACTACAGGCTTAAGGAAGAAGGAAAAAAAAAAAAAGAGGCAGACTAATTCGAGTCCATATGGCTAATCTACCTAGATTCCCTTTATAGGATACACTCCTTTAGAGATTTAGAGAAGTAGCTTACCATAAAGTGCTCTAAGTTGCTCCCAAGGGAACTTCTTCCTCTCTGCATTACAGAGATCCTATGGAAATGTTCTTTCGTTAGCTACCACTGGTTTTCCTGAATAGCTCCCCCTCTTCCCTTTGCATCACCAGTATTTAAACATTACAGCATCTCATGCCTCAGCATCCTTAAGGCATCAAGCCTTGGTTTGAGACAGTACAGCTCTGCAGTGCTCTGCCTCTGTTCAAAGCTGGTTTTTGCACAGACAACCTGAGAGCTCACTTAAAACCACAATGAAAACAGCAAAGCTAAGAGGTAGAGGAGGAGTTTACAGCACTTTCTACATAAACAGGAAAGACTCTTCACATAGGACATCACTTTCTCGCGGATTGTGACTGAAGTTCTAAAGAAATTAAGAATCAAACATCTTCAGAGTCTCCAGTCTAAAGAGGAGACATCTCTTCAGCTTCACTTTCTCTGTACGAGTCACAGACCTTTTAACAGGACAAACCCTAGGCAGGAATCACCCTTTTCATTCCCAGCTCTGCTTGGCTATGGAGGACATAACCTCCCTGCAACGTTTAGCAATCTTTCTCCTTCTCTTGTCTTCATGCATGTAGACAAGATTTCTCTTAAAGTCTCACGGCCCCTTAAGATAAAAGAAAAACTTGACCTTGCTGTATGCTAGAGACAGTATATAATTCATTTAGTTTCACTCTTCTTCCTACTTTAAAGCTCCCACCTGTTTTTGGTGATTCTTTTCTTCCCCCTGATATAAAGTTTATGAAACTTTTACATACACCCACGTATATTCTACGCCACGGGTGCCCTATTTACACTTGGTGCTTCTAAACAAAGATAGGAATGCATCCACACATTATCCACAACACTCCCATTCCCATGCTTCGGAATTCAACCTTGATCCATCAGCAATATTTGCTGGGTGGAAAACAAGTAAGAAAACTTGATGATAAAGTCTGAACAGTTGCTCTGTTGGTAGCTACTGCAAGAGGTAGGCCATGGAAATCCATTCCCATGCAATCTGTAGGGGCTCACTTGCACTAATATACTCATTAACACTTTGACTAAAGCTCCTTTACAATGCTGGCCATAGAAATGTGCTAAAAAAAAACTAGTCAAAAAGTCAAACTTGATAAACATCAGTTCAGATTCACTTGGCCTGATTATGAAATAAAAGAATTAGATTCAATGTTATGTCAAGTGTTGGCAGCAGAAAAGAATACTATATTATGTTCTCATATTTAGAAGACAATTTAAAAATAATCGTTTCTTTCTTGCCTACAGGAAAACCTTCAGAAACTGCCTTCAGAAAGGCACTTCAAATAAAACCCTGAGTAAAACAGCAATGTTTCTGCTAGGTCGTGATGATGTAGCACCATCAGTTTTCAGTTGGCAGCTAGTCTCAAATTTTGTACTTGAGACTTGTGTACTTGTGTACTCCAAACGTTCCTAGAACACATCATACTAGGGATGTCTACTGCGTTAGGCAATAAATAAAGCTTTGCTTGTATGTTTTTAACCAGAAAATGATACAGTGTTTTAAAAGACTTACCAGTGATTTGAAGCTGTGATTTCATGGAAAATCCACTGGCTGATCCTGATCTGGACCCACTTCCAGCCATAATATGGGCTGGATCTTGAATCTGGTAAAAGACAGAAAAAAAAACAAAAAGTCTCTCAATTTGCCAGTTACCTGAGTGTGAATGCTTTCCAGTCTTTGCAAATCTTACTGCACAGCTCTTGTATCTGAAAATCTCTGTCATTTTTGATGGCATCAATCCTGGATAAGAAGTTTACCCAGCAAAGACAAGTTCTACATGGTCTAAAAACCAAAACTCATGAGTAGAGGGGAAAAAAGGAATGGAAACATTCCTTCTTTTTTTTCTTACCAAATGAAATTAGAACGTAAATTTTAAATTTAGAGAAGCCTGCTTCTATGTGTCTTTGTTTCCACTAGCTCAGATCAATTCTACCAATGTGTTCTGGAGCTCTGCAACGTGCTTTCCTAAAGAGCAAACCTATCACCTATGAAGCAGGACACAACAAATTTCACTTACAGCCCCATCTTCCCCCTCTACCAGAGCAGTCAGAGTGTCCCACTGCCCTCTGCCAAATATAGCCAAGGGGAGAGATTCCCGCTGCACTTGAAACTTAATTTACTGTCTGGTTGCAGAGAAGTGGAGGAACAGGGACAAGATGTGTCATATAACTTTCATGCCAACAGATATAAATGAAATGGGTAGCATTTAATTTAAATTAAAGGTAATGTTGGAACTATTCAGACAACCTTGTCTTTTTTTAAATATCTTCTCAACCTTTCTTAGCCTCTACATATACTGGTAAATCTATGTATTTGCAATATTATATATTTTCATAACAATTTATGCGTTAGCAAATGATCATATGGTATTATATCATTCATATTAATAAATGCACAGCAGGATATACCCACAAGGGAACAAACAAGCTTCAAATTAGCACTTCCCTCCCCAATTTCATACTTCAGTCCCCCGCAGAGCACATCTCCAGAGAGTCCCGTGGTCATAACCTGCTAGAGCTTCGCTCACCCACCTCCACAGCCAGCAATGCGGTGAGGTTCTGCCCAGGAGGCCCTGGAAAACGGGAGCCCCTGGAGCTCCTCTCACACCCTTGCTCTGCTATCAAATCCGAACCCTCAAGCAGGCCGGGTTTCCCGTACCAGATCCCAGGTCATTTCCTGCACACAACTGGTAATTCCAAGAAAGGAAGTTTTGTGTTAACATAAGCTGCTGATGTTTGTCTCTCGAGCACAAAAGGCTACTCATACGCATTTCCCAGCTGATAACAGCACAAACAGATTGAATACGAAGCGAACAAGTTAGCAGCATGCTATGCAAAACACAATGTGGAAAAGGAAAATGGATTTGAATATTGCAAGTTCCATTTTAGAAGCTGCAGTTTAAAATAAAAGTCTATATTCTGCAATAACATTGTTACTCCAGGCACATTGCAGAAGTGACAAAATAGGAAGGATGTTACAGTTGGTTGATGTCGGTATCAACTGCTGCAGAACATGACACTACCAAAAAAAGCAGACAAGCATCTTCCCTCAACAGCACGTAGTGTGGAATTAAGGGCTTTTAATTATTAGATTACAGATGTGAATAACAAAAATCTAAGTCTTGCTAGAGTGTGAAAGCTTTTAATATAAGTAATTTCAGAAGTAGTTTAAAAATTAACAGACTTTAGAGGACAATTTTTAATTCTGAATTGAAATTAGTTCTACCAAATGTAGGCAGGTATTCCCTATGCTTTATGAAAGCGGCTAAATAAAGCGTCGAGACCACTACAGACATATAAAATGGCCTACAGGACTTTGCATTAAGGAAAAGCTGCTATTTTCCACCTGGAGAAGTAACACTGCACATAATACAAATGCAATTACTGAAGGTGCTAATTACTTTACATTTTAAGTCATAAGGTAAGCACTGGTAGTGCACATTCACTGAGGAATATGCTAAAGCCAATTTTCATTTATATGCCTGAAAAATATACTCATAAAACAATCTTGATAATATTTGGTCTCATTTTCATTGAAAATGTGCAGAAAAAATAGTTCTAGCAGCATTTTCATAAGAAAAACGACTGTCCTGCAAACTCACTAAACAACCTGTTGAGTTGATCAACCACCCTGATCTATCCGAGAGTTTCCATGAGACCTGCAGTCTTTGACAATAATCATCTTTAGTAAAACTTGAAGAAACTACAGCCTCTCAATAGTCCTAAAAATGAGAACCACACTGCTATACACTCACCCTGCAGCTTTCCTCCCTGCTGGGCACCACATTAAGGCTCTTTTCTGTCATGTATAAGTACAGCCTCTCCTGATTCCTTCTAATCCATATGTATAACTCCTATTTAATTATCGTCGATACCTCTTTTCTACTTTAGCTCCATGTTTTAAGCTTCATTTTAGCGCTATTCTCATCAACAGCAATAAGAATTTGGCTGTTCCTGGGCAGTCACAGCTGCCTGGAACTAAAATGGCCCAGACAGAAGTTGCATGAGAAAAGCTGACAGCCGGTTTTGAACCAAATACAACGTTTTCCCTTAGTGCATCTCATCATAAACAGACTGTGAACAAGAGCGTCCACACAAGCCTTTGTATAGTACAGTTACATTAGTTTTATCTGTGATTTTGGAAAAAAAAACAATTTTGGCGTATAAAAAGATATAATACATACATAATATAGGATTTTTTAAAAAAATAAAATAGTGGCAATATTTAACATTCTATGAAAAGTCAATGCTGTTATTTCAGGCAAGCAGCTGTATGAGCAAGTACGTCTTCACGCAGCAAATGCTGGACACTAACTGTGCTTTAACTCCACATTTCCAACTGCCTCCCCGGTGGAAGGGAAAGGAGGAAGGCTTTGAGGCAATACCATAAACGGGACCTCATGAACAAAAGCATCATGCAAGAAATCATTACAGACCGGGTGCATCAGCTTTATAAACTCAGTGCCAAGCAGCAAGTATATCTACAAGCTGAAGCTAATGAACGCACTATTTCCTGAGAAAAGCTACTCAGGTTCTTTTTATCTGCACTAGAACCAAATATATAATAATATGAACATATCTTCATAAAAGTTTCCAATATTAAAAAAGCTATAGTAAGCTCATATTTCCATTTTCCTCCTATTTAGGGTAGGAAAAAAAAAGGTAGGGGAAAAGACCTGCCTCTGGAGCATGATCACGTAAGTTCATTTTTTTTAGGAAGTAAGACTACAGAAAGTGTTTGGTATATAAAAAGGCACAATAATACAGCATAATAGGAGTCCAATGTTTTCAATCAGCAGAAATAATCATTTGAATGCTCTTGGGAATGACTTCAGTGGCTGCTTATATCTTCCCAGGTGGATTAATTTTGGTAATGTGCTACAGCAACATACAGATAACTGGATATATCAATTTGTTTTGGTTGCCACTTACACAGTCCCTGCAGAAAGTCGCATGGAACTGCAGCAATGCTTGTTGATTTTAAATCATCTGACAACCTTCAATTTTAAGCCATGTACTATTTTTCTAGTGTTTTCAAAGAACTGAAAGGTCATGTTCTTTCTTTCTCTTCTGTGCTTGCAAAGTGATTCAGGAATTGTTACCATATTGTCCAAACATCCAGGACTTAAATAACTGCCTTGGAGTCATGAAAGTTGGTCCATAAATGTTCTAGGGATTCACAGGGCTTTCACTGACACCCCTGTCTTACTCCTTTCCTAGGAAAGCCACCCCTGAGGCATGAACTCTTGCTGTTAGGCCAAACTACATCAGCTTTGGTGGTGTTTTAATCCAGGACAGATAACTTCAAAACCCAACTGTGCACAGCATTGAGAAGAAAAGGAAGAAAATCTAGAAGAACTTAGTGCAGATACCACCAGCACCTTCAGAAACAAGGCAGCAGGAAAGGCCTTTCTTTTAGCAAAACCATGAGACCAAGGGGGCAAAAGAGAAGCTTTAAGCTTTTGTTTCACTGAAACAAAAGGTATTGAGCTTCTTACCACAAAAAGCAAAGGGTACAAGTAGGAGGAAAATGCCATCTAAGGTTTTAAAGACGTAATAATTGTGTTTAAAAATCTGCATGTCAGATGTAACAGAGACATGTTCCTTTTACAGCAGATTAATTTTTAATGAACAGATAGGCAGGTGCACTGCACGCAGATGAGATCAGAGTACGTATTTCAGAGTTCAAAGTCACTTGCTTACGCCTATGTTGTACGTTTTTGTGTGCAAGAACTTAAACGCAACTACTGTCTCCACCCTAATCCTGTAACCTCTACTTAGCTACAGGCTTGCTTGGTAACTTTCTTGTTTTAAAAAATAAGAGCAAATACACATTTAAGTGCTCCAGTTTCATCCTTTAAAAATCAGTTTTAAAAATTCTTTCTGTTGTTTTACATTTTTATTGGCTATTTCTTTAAATAAGCTTAGCGAAACACGATGAGTTTTGTCCAAAAAAAAGTAAATCAGTTCAATAAGAAAAAGTAGTCAATAAGAAAAAAAAGGGACAGATTATAAGAATACTGAGCAGAGGTTGGAAAAGGAAGCACTTCATGAGTTTTGCTCAGTAGATATTTGCACAAGGAATGGAAAAGAAAAAGTTTGAGAGCAGAATGCAGCTGAGCTCCTTTAGCCATTGCGGTGTGTGCGCAGCACTGTCCCAGTGCACCAAGGCACCGGCAAACAGTGCCGGCCTGTTTCCAGCAGTACCCCCGCTACAGTTTAAAATGCAGATGCTTAAATCATGTCTTGACCAGATGTGAAACACAGAGCATTCTGAGTCAAAAGGTAAACACTCGGTTCATTTACTGAGCAGCTCAGCTCTCAATTCCCCAAACCAACTTTTGCACCCAACTCACGCTGCACCTTGACTGTAGCTATTCAGAGCAAGAGTGTAACTCTCACTATGCAAAAGGTCTTGTAACTTCCACAACAAAACCCACCAACGGTGCCAAGCATCGGCCCGGCGTCACATCAGCTGCTATGGATCATATTCATGTGCAACTCCAGATTGTAAATTTAGGACACTTTAAACTCTTGCAATCGTTTGAACCATAGGCACAGAATCAACAGCCAAAAAGGGATTTATGTTGAAGTGAAA